GCCATGAATATCTAGCCAAAATCAGTTCACGAACCAAAAGAGATAAGAAATAATTATTACTTATATAGGGACCGGATACTCACCTCGTTGAGAGATTTGTCATCCATGAGCGCCCTTTTCTTCTGTTGAATGTGACGACTCCTTATAACATGCCTGCCCATAGGTATCTGTTCTCTCGGCTTAGTCGCTGTTTGGGACAATGATCCTGCGGCTCGCTCATTCGAATGGACACGATCAGGAGATTGACAACGATCTTTTCGAGTTTCGGCTTTATCATTAGAATCGGAAGATATCCGTTTCCGCTTCTTGGATTTCTCTTTTTTCTTCTTTGTGGCGGCTGTACATGAAACATCATCCACGACTTCCTGCTTGGATCCGTCACACTCGGCAGCTACCTGGCAAACAGATCCCGGTGGCTCAGCATTGACACTTGCCATGCCGGTATCTCCTTCCAGTTTCTGTGTCTTGTCTTCATGACACGGCTCCTTTCTAGCGTCCTTGGCGTTGCTTTCTGCAGCAAGAGGCTCGTGTTTCTCCTGGACCAAAAATCCCCCGCTTATGAATCTAACCGCCTGCCACTTTTTCGCGGCATAAAGTGCCAGCCTCGCATCATCTCGTTGTCGCTGCTCTCTTTCCAACTCCGCGTCACTCTTTCCGTTGAGTCGCCCCAGCAGCCCTTGGAATGCATCAAGCCCAGTAGGCTCGAAATCTGCAGTTCCTCGAGGACGAGCGCCTAAACCAAGGGTATCATCCTTAAGGGTCACTCGGATATGAGATGCGCTGGCGGCAGTGAAGGTATCAGCGTGCGCTGCGTTGCGTGCGCCTAAGAAGCTACCAGGAGTCCACCCCTGAGAGGTTAAAATCTTATAACCAAATCCACTTGTCGATCGAGCCCAGATAGTATTATTCGGGTCGTGCGATATCTTGATTTTCCTATTCTCCTGGTGATTAGCGAGACGCGGAGATCATGCTGTTATAATCGCCTTACTTGCGAGGTTCTGCCAGGCCCATTTGGAGGGCACCTTCTCTTTGTTCGTTCTAGCAGAGAAGGTTAAAGAGATAGGATGGGCTGACAGTAAATACAGTGCTGACCCTTCCTGCCAGAAGTTGGTGAACAATATACCCAATTTTCTTTACTCCGTAAACCAGTTGGGGCGACAGGAACTTTTTTTTTTGCGGACAAACGCGCTGAGTCAGCATCAATAATGGAGGTTCCTGTTAGCCCGAAATAGTACGTCAGGGCCAAGCTACCCGGGCTATGCAAATTGGACAGCCAATATAACGATAATAATATTCTTCATGTCATTCGCTGGTTAATCATTGCTCTCTGCAGTTAATTTCAATGAATGTGCAAGTTCCCACATCGAATTCACCTCCTTTTTGCTGACGACACAATATCTGCAGCATCCGCGAATGCTGTAATCTCCAAAAAGGATTGTCTCCATATAACACATACATTGAAAGATGAAAATCTGGCAGTAGTGATGGTCTAACCAGGCAATGTCTACTCTGCGCGTTCTCTGTCGAGATCAACCTCGTCGTACAATCGCTCTAGCTACAAACAAGTCTGTATTGCTCCTTAGTCATACTTCGACGACTATAGATCCGTCCAGAGGTGCAAGCAACCATGGCGATGTGCCGCGCTGCCTGGTGGACTTCTCCAGCCTTTCGTCGGTGGATTTGCGAGACTACAGACTATTGGGAGAGGGATATGGGACTCTTGGTCTCATCACCTTAAACAATGATGTTTTTATCTGCGTTGTGACTGCATCATCTAGGGCCGCGACAGTTCGACCAGGGGAAACAATTTTGAGGATCGACAATGTCGAATTTTGTATGTGGCCCCAATTACCCTTGAAGCTCTTCGGAAATTGCGTTAATGTGGATATAGACTGTCTTAATCGATCGGATTATGAGCATAGCGAGGACTACCAGTTAGCTTCTCGATTTGCTACGGAAGAGATCAACCACGATGGCATTTATGACAATAAAGATATTGTCACGGATCACCCTTTTTTAGCCTTAAAAAGGCTCTTAAATGATGGTAGCTTCTATTACAGCCCCGATTTCAACCTCACAGATCGTCTCCAGAATCGGTAAGTGAACCATACCCTTGCTATTGGCCGCAGCTGGCTAACCCTATCTCAGATACAATGATTCAGGAACCTTCGACATCGACAGTCTCGATGAAGATATGCTGTGGAACTCTTACATGATTCGTCCTCTGTTGCTTTTTCGTAGACGTCTGACGACCCATGAAAGAGCGAACCTTGATTCATCGCACATTTTAACGTCGGTTATTAGAGGATTTGCTGGAACCTTAACGATACCTGCTTCCATCTCTCTCTTACCTCAACTGCGGTCAAATCTTCCCTCAAATATAACTGTCATCTCACGTTTGTCTTCTCGGCGTGCGGGTACAAGGTTCAATTCCCGTGGTATTGACGATGACGGGAATGTTTCAAATTTTGTCGAAACCGAAACTGTTTTATGGATCCCCCCAGGCATAACTTTTTCTTACACGCAAGCACGCGGGTCAGTGCCAATTTTTTGGGAGCAAACAGCCGGTCTTCTCCCTGGACAGCAAAAGATAGAAATTGCCAGGTCTTTTGAGGCCACGCAGCATGCTTTTGATAAGCATTTCGAGACTCTTGAACTAAAATACGGAGCCGTACACATTATAAATCTTCTCAGTGAGACAAAACCTGGGGAATCTGAGTTGTCGGCGCGATTCCGAGAACACGTTGCGAGGAGATCTCTCAGACAACAGAATGATGCTACTTCGCAAGTCAGACATCATCTTTTGAAGACCACTGAATTTGATTTCCATGCGGAGACACGCGGCCCACTGGGTTACGAAGGCAGCAGTCAGATTCGACATATCATCGAGCACTCATTGGATGGATTTGCGTACTTTCTATCGGATGAGGGTGTCGGCCCCCAAACTTCCAAGTCAGATGAGAAGTGCAAAGAGAAGGGATCAACAGTTATATTACAACAAGAAGGCATATTTCGGACCAATTGTCTTGATTGTCTCGATAGAACAAATCTCGTGCAGACAATAATCAGTCAGATGGCTCTAGAGTCTTTTTTGTTTCAACAGGGAGGGCATATGGTCCCGGATCTTCAAATGAGACATTCAAGTCTCTGGGCAGATAATGGAGATGCTCTGTCCAAAATATATGCCGGCACTGGCGCGCTGAAGTCATCCTTCACAAGGCACGGTAAAATGTCACTTGCTGGTGCATTTGCAGATGTACGGAAGAGTGCAACACGCTTGTACGTGAACACATTTGCAGATAAGGCCAGACAGAACACCATAGACATCTTACTAGGGCGTTTGGCGAACCAAGTATCTGTTGATCTGTATGATCCTATAAACGATATGGTCACTGCAGAGCTCAACCGACGAGTCGCAGAATACACGTCTGTGAGAAATATACGAATATGGGCTGGAACTTTCAATTTGAATGGAAGAAGCGAGGGTGCTACCGCTGATCTTTCTCCATGGCTTCTTGCGCTGCGTGAGGAAGATGGAGAAGATCCAACAATTGTCGCTGTTGCGTTTCAAGAAATTGTGGAACTCAGTCCACAACAAATAATGTCTACAGATCCTAAACCACGCCTTGTGTGGGAAGAAGCAGTCAAGAGGTGTTTGAACTCCTATTCAGAACGATTTAAAAGAAGCAAATATGTCCTCCTAAGAAGTGGACAGCTTGTTGGCGCTGCTCTTCTAATATATATCAGGGCCGATGCTCTTGGGGATGTGAAGAACGTGGAAGGAAGTGTGAAGAAGGCAGGCTTTCATTCCCAATGACCTTTACTCAACCTGCTAACATATATTATATGATGAAGACTGGCCTTTCCGGAATGGCGGGCAATAAGGGCGGATGTGCCATCCGTCTCGAACTGTCGAATACGAAACTGTGCTTCGTCACAGCTCATCTTGCCGCTGGATTTGCGAACTATGACGAAAGGAACAGAGACTACGCAACAATAAGCCACGGTCTGAGATTTCAGAAAAACAAGTCCATTGAAGATCACGACGCGATCATATGGTTGGGCGATTTCAATTATCGCATAGGCCTTAGCGACCAGAAAGTAAGAGAACTGATACAAAAGAAGCAATACGACAAGCTGTACGAGAATGATCAGGTAATTCAGTCCGTTCTCAAAAATAAACTTTGAAATGCTGATATTTTCATAGTTGAACCTACAAATGATCGCAGGTAGAACATTTCAGTTCTACTCTGAAGGCCGTATCGGATTCCCTCCAACTTATAAGTACAACATAGGCACTGATGAATACGATACATCGTAAGATATACCACTGTATCCAGTCTAAGCAGCTCTAACTTCTTTCCAGAGAAAAAGCTCGTATACCTGCGTGGTGTGATCGGATACTTTGGAAAGGGGCAAACCTCAGGCAAAGGCATTACCGCACGGCAGACCTGAAATTCTCAGATCATCGTCCTGTATTCGCTCTGTTTGATTGCACGATAAGTATTGTTGACGAGCAAACCAAGGATCGACTCAGTCGCGTTCTTTACGATAAGCACCGCCGTGAAATAGGCGACTTGACGTTGAAATTCACTGTCGAGGATAGTGAAGACGAGGAGCTTATTGGTTATCGATCTATTGCACCAGGGTTCCCTCCGGCCAGTTCAGATCGTCACAAATGGTGGCTTGACCAGGGTATAGATCCAGAAGACATAGTTCATACTAAAACACACAGTTGGCTGACAGAAATCAGGTTCGCATGTGAGGTCGACAATTAAGCCCCCGGAGCATGGACAAATTCCCAACATATATCGAAAATCAAATCCCTTTTCTCCAAGTGCTGAACCTGACTGGATCACGTTGCAACAATCATCGGAAGAAAATGGTGGGCAGGACTTCAACCGGTCGTCACTTCCAGTGAAAACTCCACCGAAGCCTCCAGTTCCTAGACGGCTTGCGAAGTCCAGTACCATACAGACAACGCCATTGGAAAGTGACACACAGACCAAGCAGAACTCTTCGAATGATAGAAGTGTATCTTCACAGAAACCGGGTGATTTAAACCCAAGAGAGCTGCCACCCCCAATACCTAGAAAGCCAGTTTCATTGAGCCTCCAAATGAACTCGAATAAATCCGACATCTCGTCCGAATTTCGAAATCATGACACACGAAACCATCACGAGAGGTTGGAGGAAACTCACACCTACAGACCTCCTCTTCCCGCTAGAGTCAACAGCAAACCTGCATCTTCTTCCCCAAACGAGAGACTTGAATGTCAGCCGTGGCGGAAAGGCACGGGTCTTGAATCCCCCAACGAGATGGAAGTCAATAAGACTTCTCACCTACCTGGTGGACATGAAGGTCCGTTGAGAAATTTTCTTGATGATGGAGCGGATGAAGCTATGAAGGACTGGAAGCCTCTCATTCCACGTCGAGGGACAGATTGACATTGTCAATAAATTCCAGTGACTTTGATCATAATTTAGATCAAACGGCGGGTTCTCCCTCCAGAAGAGCCGTGTTATTTCAGCTCAGCGTTCAACAATCATGCGAATAATTTTTTTTCTTTGATTATGATTATGATGGCGATGAATCCAGACCTGATCTAACTTACGTATCTAATGTCGCCGTGTAGTATGTTCCACATCTAACTCCACCGACACAAGAATTATAATGAACGCATAAAATGAAGCCCCCAAGAACGCCCAAAAGCAAATCATATACAGGGTTTTGTGATGTTGCGAACTGTTATCCTTCATTGTTCCCCTCTTGTAAGATAATTGTTGAATGGTCTGTAGGCAGATTACTAAAACTACCTAGAGACCTCGACTAGAGATTTCGACTGGAGACCATCTGAAGTATTCAACCTCAAATCTGCATGCATCGCGTCAGAAGGTTTACCGTAATTCGAGTTGAATTGTATGTATGTACTCTAATACTAATATGTAATTTAAATGACACGGCATCGGCAAACACTGCCAGTGCCTTCTTTTCTTTGCTCTTAAAAGAAAGAGAACAGAACGATTACAGCAGTAAGAAAAGATAATCACAATCATAACAAGGCCGGCTTCCGGGCAATTCTTCATGACCATCCAACAAATTCCTTCTAAGGGTATCAATTGTGAAATAAAATCTTAAATCTAACATTACCCAATACTAGTCAAGGAACATACTTTAACATGCCCTTCCATCGGCCAAGTTGAAAACCTCTCCTCCAAATACTAAAGGGGGGAGAAAGCATCGACTTCTGCTTAAAATTCCCCTGATATTTTCTAGCCGACAAGGCTGGTATATATGAGACATGAGAAACCAATCCCGACCACGTCGAGAGGAAAAGCCATGCCTCCTGAAATGTGCCATGTAGCGGTAAGGGCCGCAAGACGGAAAACTATCTGAGTCACCGAAGGAAGATCCTTCCCGAAGAGATAGAGACCGAGATTTATTCCTCGATCAGAAATATTCCTCAGAGGCATCCGTCCGAAAACCATTGCCAAGTCCAATTTGTCTCCAATTGTTGTTCGGAACTAATTTCCGGCAATTAGGCCCTCAACTCGCTCACATAACACCGCAAGTGTCGCCGTGTTGCTGCACAATTTCAGGCTTTTTTTCCACTTTTAAAGTCTTGTTTAACTTTGCCCGGTTGCTACCGGCCATCCACATCGCGAAGGATCCAGGATCGGGCCCTCGAGGTCGTGATTTCTTGGGACCTGAAGCTACTTGAAGGAAGAGTCAATAGAATTTCCCTAACCTAACCAAATCAAATGGGAAAGAAGAAGATAAGACCCGATAAGGAAAGAGATTGAACATACCTGCTCCGTCTGGCTTTTTCTTCGGCTCCTCGACGGTAGCATTTTCTTCAGGAGCCGGCGCCGCCGGCGGCGGAGGTGGAGGAGGGTCAGGATCCTTTGGCTTCTCTGGTATTGGCCACATGTGCATCGTTATGGTCCAATCAGGTTCTATCACAGTTTCCCAAACCTGTGGAAGTATGATATCACCGTTCGGTCCAACTAGGTCATAATGCCCTTCAGCAACGTGTGGTCCTATAACCTCGACATGAAGAAAAGCTTGACGAATAAGCTCTTCCATCCCCTGTCGACAGCACAGATAAGAATGAGACACGGCCTTCCAGTATTTAAGAGGACACAGAACTTACCTGCCACGTCTTGCACAAGTGAAAAGGGAAACTAAATTTCCTGCCAACAGCGTCCTTGAATTTGATAGGTTTCTTCTTTTCCGGAGGAGGGTTATTCGCTGCTGCTGCTGCCGCCGCTGCTGCCTCCGCCGCTGCAGCGGCAGCAGCTTCTTCTGCTGCTTTCTTCGCAGCTTCTTCTGCTTCTTTCTTTGCTTTAGCAATATCTTCAGCAGCCTTTTTCTCTGCTTCTGCCTTGGCCTTCGCTGCCGCTTCTTCAGCTATTTTCTTCTCCGCAGCAGCCCGTTCTTCTGCGGCAGCCTTTTCCGCAGCAGCTTTTTCGAGGGCCGCCTCGCGCGCAGCTTCTCTTGCCTCTCGTTCTGTCCGCTCATCTAGGATTAACTTCTCCAGTCTTGCAATGGCTTCGTCTTTGGCCGTGTCTGATTGTGATGGTGGTGGAGTGGTAGACTTCTGGGGCGGAGACGACAAATGCGGGAATTGGCCAAAGTACTGCGGAGGAACCATCCCACCAGGAACTACCGGATAGGCTTGGTTGTAGAAATAACCTCCGGCGCCATACGTTATGAGATCTGGGGGACTGAATGGTGAGCCTCCATAAGGAGGATTGCCATGAGAAGGTACCGGATGTGGCGGCGGCGGCTGGGGCGGGCTATGCCCACCGCTCCGATTTCGAGGCTGCGGTTGCTGATGCAAGTGATGTGCTGAGTGTCCAGAATGATGATCATGACCAAAAAAGGGAGGTACAGGAGCTGTGTGTGTGTGAGGATATGGTGGACCATATCCATAAGGTGACGGGTTCCCGTATTGTGTAGAACTGCCTGGATGTCCCAGGTGACCAAACCTTACCAGTTGGTCAGAAGGAGGATGAGACCCTCCGGGATGTCCGAAAGGGCCATGAGGAATGCCACCATGGTGATAAACATTGTAGGAGGGTCCTGAAGACGAGCTGTGTGCATATCCGCCAACTGGCCTCGGAGCGACAGATGACCAGTAGCGCCTGTCTGGTGGCGGCCGCGCGTAAGTGCCCACAAATTCTTCATCCGAGTCCACACTTTCAGGAGACTCGGGAGAATGGTGGCGCCTTGGCCTCTGGGAGAGCGATTCCCGCTCCGGGAGTATATCGCGCCTCGAATAACGACGACTTGATCTGGATCGAGAATTATGAATTGTATGGCGAGTATGGCGTGATGTCCTTGGTCTAGAGGCTGAATCGGACGGCTTTATCTCATCAGGATACGGCAAATGCGCCCATTCGCCTCCAACATCATACGAGTCTTGATAATCGTGACTACCAGTAATTGACGGCGGCGAGACCTGAACACCCGAGGAGTCCTCGTCGCTTAGAGACGAATTATCTGAGTCGTGAGAACTTGTATGATCAATTGTGATGTTAAACCTGATGCAGCCATTGATTAGCAAGATTCATCAGCAAAGTTTCATTCAGTTCGGTACTTACGTCATGGATAATGGCGCAGAAATTCTTGTAGGAGCTCTTAGCGCCTCTCCTGTTCAGAAACTATAGAAAAGGGTTATTTCTGAGGATAAATGTCCGATCCACGACTCTTGTTCACTTGGAGGCTTCACAAGTACACTGAAGATAAACACTTCGGTTCAAAGGGATTGAAATAGAGACAGAAGCAGAAGCAATAACAGGAAATTTATCACCCAAACTTCATAATTGGATGGGGAACAAGTGGAATGAAATATAACATTAAGTGTGGCTGGGTAATGGATAAATAGACATCAATAGTGGATGTGCAGTTATGTTATTATATTCAGATTATGAATGTTGGAGAGGAGGAAATGATCAGTTAGCTCTTCTCAACAGGAGAGCATTGGACATGTGGATAGATGCAAAGAATATGATTTGTGTTCCTGTTTGGCCAGATTTATGACAGGATGGGAACAAAAAAAACATTACGTGCCTGACCATCAGAGGTTGTTGGCCTAAGTGGAGTTGGGCAGAGGCACAGAGGGGGGAAAGGAATCCTATTCCTAGCCCATTATTAGTACGTACATTACATTAATCAGATCAGATTATTAATAGTAGGTAGCACCTCAAAACACAGAGTAGTTGACTTAGTAGCTTTGTGAATAATATGGAGCCAGCAACAACCCTGTGTCATTGCCTGTGTTGCCCTGATTCCATCTTGCTGCCCAAAGAACTTAATAATGCAATTTTTGACAGTATGAAATCTGACCAATGATCATCATGTGTTAATGATAGTGGCTAGTACCTAGTAGGTAGGTAAGTATGCAGAATTTAGTGTTGTTAAAAGAAAGGAATGGAAGCTTTCGAAGGTCTCCTACGGAATTATCTTGGAGACTGATGAAAGTCCTAGGCTTCGGGTATAGCATGAAAACTTAGAACTAGGAGTAGATGTAAGGGGCTTTATCTTTGGATAAAAAGAGTTCTTTTACATGAGATGATACCGATTGCTCTAAGTGTTTGTTTGGAAGGCTAAAAATGACCAGCCTGATTTGACTTACAGCGGCCAAAGACACCCCTGGAAAGCAGCTCTCATAGTGTCATACAAAGAAATCACCATCTTTCCGATCCATACTACTAAGGAGACGAAATTCTGGCCTGAAACTGACAGGCCACCAGGAGAATAGTAGTGAAAGGAGTTCTACTCCGTAAGAGTATTTATAGTATTTATATGCAATATGGCGACTTGCTGGGGCGGCTTGATAAAGCTGCTCACAAAGCTGCTGTCATTTAATTCTTCCCATTTGCTGTATTATTGCAGGCCTAGGCAGCCTAAGATAATTTGCACTGCCACAGGACTTGGAAATCACTCCTTTCTGATGGAAGGCAAGGAAGGAGAAAGGGGTGGGGGTTGAATGTTGTTGCATACACACACCTTAATATGTCCTATGTCTTAGAATTAGAATATTTTCTTTATTATATGTCTCATAATAGAGAGATAATGTTCGGTCATGGCCAGTGTTTAGTTTAGATACATAATTGTCAAACCAAATTCCTAGCCGTCTCATAGCCAAAGGGCCTCGATAAACAGACCAGGGCGCCTACACTCGCAATTTAATAGGACCAGCCAAGATGTCTTAGTATCAAAATAACCCTGACCAGACAGTGAGAAAGTAATACCAGATAGCCAACTACGCTGTATAAAAAGTTTTCCATATGAGAACACATGTACAAAACCAGCAGCTCATCGCTAAAACAGTGATCACCACAATCGTACAAAGAACATAAATCCTGTGTGAACTTTTTAAGCATTTTCATGGAATCTCACTGTTACAAAGGGCATTGTAAAGCAAGGGTTTGTTTTTTAAGTAAGCATGTACGAAGAATACAACGATAGTGACAATTATTTCTCTCGATGGAGCAGTTCTTGTGCTGCGATGAGCTCTGCTTGCTTCTCTGCGTCGTCTTCGGGAACCCCAAATTCGGACTCTACAAGCTTGCGCAGCCTTTGTTTCGCCATATCGTTCAGCTTCTCGACCACTTCCTTCGATGGCACACTCTCTGCATTGGTTGAATAGTTTGCAGATAAAGGTTGGACAGTCAAATGCTCGATGAGGAACGAGGAGGCCTAGAATTAAGCATTAGTCAAAGAGAGAACCCAGAATAATGATGTGTATCAGTAGTAAAATGAAAATTGAAAAAATAAATTGGGGTAGAGGGGCAAAAGGCAATGGCGCAAAGTACCAGTATCAATCCATATAAACCTCTCAAATAATCGTCACACAATTCAATACTCCTGCAAAAGTACTGTATAGACATGGCAAGGAGGCCCGGCAAAACTGCCTTAGAATCCGACGCAATCGCAGAGATGTAAAACAGCTCCCCAAGACGCGCATGCAGCTGTTTGCCAGAATGAATTAGATAAATTCTGTTAATAGATGTCAAAGTGGAAGCACATACATTCCAGGAATTGGGCGTTATAAGAAGCGCTTCCTCAAGGCTAAATATCGCTTGTGAGGTCATGCCCTGAGACTGGTACAAGTCTGCAAGTTCACACCAGGCTTCTGCATCTGTTGGGAAGGCCTCAAGAAACTCCACCAATGCAGAGATGGCATCCTCTTCTCTAGACATTGAGCGCAGAATGGCGACTCGACGTTTCAGGACAGGCTATAATAATATCCTCAGCATGCATTTCCTATAACCCTAGTCATAAATTTCGAAACTGACCACATTCACTGGATTTTCTGATAGAATAGTTTCATATTCTGAGAGTACTTTCTCCAAAGAAGCCACATCCTTTGCAGTAGCTTCCTGATAGAGACCTCTTAATCCCATGATCTTCTCATTGGAAGGACCAAAACGTTCAGTCAGACGATCCAAGCAAAGATGCGCAGATTTGTCATCACCGGTACGCAGACAGGCAAGGAATAGCTGCTCGCAAGTGCCCCATTTGTCCGGATTCTCTGAAGCAGAGGCCAATGATAAGGGAAAAGTAGGCAGCGGATAATGATATTTCTTCAAGAAAACGGAAGCTTCTTGGGATAGACGAAGAGCAGCACCCGGGTTTAACGAATCCAAACCGCGGTCCGAATTCATTAAAACATTCGCCATTGCTGAAGCATGAGGATCTGACACAAGTTATGGACCTCGAAGAAAATAGTAGTTTAACATTGTTTGCCTACCTACTCCGTATGATACGGCTTCAAGACCGATTGCTAACCAATCATGAGCAGTGGCTCGTAGCGGATGCGGCAGGGATTACTTAACCACCACTGATTAAACAAGCGCTCCCCGAATGAGTCAGTAACTATTGATTTCGCCTAGGTTAAATAACTGAAGGAAATGTAATGAACTAAAAAAAATACACTGTGTTATGTCTTGTGTCCAAACTTAGATGTCGTGCTTATCATTATTCAGGTAGGAACAGGAAGATATACAGTGTCTCATTATTATTCATAAGGCTACTTAATGGGATGTCCGACCAACCGGAGTGAAGTCCTCTACTACCTAGGAAGGTTAGTGAGAGCTGCCGAATCCTTAGCTACCTATACACCCCAAGTACTCCGTACATGTCACTGTCACCCGAGATTCCCACTTTTGCCGATTATTGGAGACGAATACCGAAGTAGCTACAGCGGCAGAACTTTTTGTGCGAGGATGAAGCATACATTTGTATGATCTCTCGAGACGCAAACTGAAATTGCGGGACCATAGAAAAACATGCCCAGAAAGTCACATTTGTTAAATTTCGGCATGAGAAAGCATTGCCTAATTGGTGATGGGTTTATCACCGTTTAGGGCACTAATATTATTTTCCTCAGTTGCTCTGTGAGGCACAGCATATTCACATTAACAATGTAGGATCTTTGATTCTTCCATTGCCCGTGATGACGCTGACATGAGACCTCCCAGGTTCGAAAAATCTCTCTACGACCTCATCAGAGGTCTGCGAAACAATAGGGGCAATGAGGTCGAGTATATTCAAAACAGCCTTAAAGAATGCAAGGTTGAAATTAAGTCACAGGACATGGGTTCGCAATTCTCACTATTCTCCTGCCCTCTCCCCCATATCATTTGACCGATGACTGATTTTCGAGCAGACAAAAAGACGACCGCTCTATTGAAACTCATATACCTCGAAATGTTCGGATACGACATGTCTTGGGCGTCGTTTCATGTTCTTGAAGTTATGTCTTCTGCCAAATACTTACAGAAAAGGGTTGGCTATCTGGCGGCAGCACAAAGTTTTCGAGCAGATACAGAGGTATTGATGTTGGCAACAAATCTTCTGAAGAAGGTCGGTCGAATATATCACGTCTCCGCCATTCCTTCATCATCTGACGAGTGTATAGGACATTGTTTCTTCTTCTGTGCTAAATCTTTCACTGCCCCTTGCAACACTGCCGCACATTATCACGCCTTCTCTTGCCATGTCCTTACTTTCAGATCTTCTACCGCGCCTCTCACACTCGAATGCAACCGTTCGAAAGAAAACGGTCGTCAGTCTCTATAGGCTTGCTTTAGTTTACCCTGAAGCATTGAGGCTGGCATGGCCAAAAATTAAAGAACGTTTAATGGACTCCCACGAAGACAGCAGTGTCACAGCTGCTGTCATCAATGTTGTATGTGAACTCGGTTGGAGAAGGCCGCGTGACTTCCTCCCTCTGGCACCCAGGTTTTTCGAATTACTTGTTGATGGTGGCAACAACTGGATGGCTATTAAAATAATAAAACTTGTAAGTAGAAACCGACTGAATACCTATCAAGAAATCAACTAACATCAAGTTCCCCAGTTTGCTACTCTGACGCCCTTAGAACCCCGTTTGGTTCGGAAGCTCCTTCGTCCTTTAACAAATATCATCCAAACAACCACTGCTATGTCTTTACTCTATGAATGTATCAATGGTATCATTCAAGGAGGAATTCTTGACGAAGCTGAAGGCATTCAAGAAGGGGATGAAGTTGCAAGCCTTTGTGTAGCGAAGCTGAGAGGCATGATAGCCATGGATGCTGATCCAAATCGTAAGTCTCCTTCAACTTTTAACTTTTTTGACTCGAAGTCTAACAGCGCATGTACAGTAAAGTACGTGGCACTTCTTGCGTTCAACAGAATTGTCCTATCGCACCCAGCGCTAGTGGCAATGCAGCAAGACGTGATCATGGACTGTCTAGATGACCCCGATATCTCTATTCGCCTACAAGCTCTCGAACTGGCTGTACAGATGGTCTCTAGTGAGACCCTGCAACTCGTTGTCGATCGTCTTATTGCGCAACTTCAGCATTCCTCCGTTCTTGACTCAAATTCTGTCGCTAATCCGATACCTGTGGAGGGTTTGAAATCGTCGGCCGATGTTGACTATGATGGCATGGGGGAAGCATTAGAGCCCCATGAACGAAAAATCCATCATACACCCCCTTTACCTAATGAGTATAGGAACGAAGTTATCCACAAAATCCTCGACATTTGTTCGCATGATAACTACTCAGATATAGTGGACTTTGAGTGGTATGTGAACATTTTGATACAGTTGGTGAGACTTGTACCTCCATCGAATACTGGGAGTTTCTCCGATTTGGATCAGCAGCTATCGGGCCAAGTTGCGCGCGAGGCGGACATTGCCTCAAGAATCGGGGCGGAAATCCGCAATGTGGCGGTTCGTGTGAAATCTGTCCGGTTAGAAGCAACAAGGGCGGCAGAGTCATTCCTTTCTATTGACGACCACGCCAATCCTTTGTCCATGATGAGTTCTTCCAGAGCTGGCATTCTTGGGCCAGCAGCATGGGTGGTGGGAGAGTATGCGGAATTTCTTGCATTTCCGGATCGTACGCTGCATACCTTGATCGCTACAAATAACATATCTCTTCCCGGCAGAACGCTGTCACTTTATCTTCAAGCGATACCCAAGGTCTTCTTGCATCTGATTTCCGGTTGCCATGACTGGAATGCAGCACGCCTAAATGAATGTTCTCTTTTACTTACGCGGGTTATTAGCTTTCTTGAGGCGTTGGCGACTCATCCTGATCTGGATGTGCAAGAACGAACGATTGAGTTTCTCGAACTTCTGCGCCTAACGAAAGAAGCAATAAACCCCCGGTCTTCTGAATTTCGACAACTGCCGTTTTTACTTACATCTGTGATCCCCAGTCTCTTTTCTGGGCTGGAGCTGAATCCTGTTGCTATAAATGCACAAAAGAAAGTTCCTTTGCCCGAGAATCTTGATCTGAATCAAGCTATGAATGATAAGCTCCAGATAACCCTCAATGCCCCGAACAGTTCCTGGCTTGATGTTGGTGATCACCAAAACTTTCAAGACTTTTACTATATTCGAGATAGCTCGGCGGTTAGCAGTCAGCGTGAAGCCTCACTGAAATCAGAACAGCGTGCACAGTCATATCAAGACACCTTTGAAAACTCACCTCAAGAGCCCGGCAGTATTGCAAAACGGGGGGTAGAACGAAGGGACCGCAATAGAGATGATCCTTTCTACATTGGGAATGATGAGGAGTCATCGGGCAGGTCTACACCTTTACACCAAGTTTTCACTGCCTCGAATGGTGAGGAACTTGACATTGATTCAATACCCATTATCGATTTGGCCATCGACAGTGAGCAAAAAGGTTTTTCCATATTCATTGAAGATGGGCGGACGGAAAAGAAGCACCGGTCGCGTTCAGAAAGGGTTGAGATAGCTACTGACGAGACATTCGGAATCGATGGATCCCCCCCAACAGCGACCAGGAGTCGAGAGATCGACGACATAGGCAAACCCAAACGAAGTCTTCTGCAGGTCGATTCAAGCCGGATTGGGCACTTTTCACTCAACGAGTCTGATCAATTAGAACCAATGACTGCCCAAGAACCTGGAAAGGAAGAGGACGATGCTGAGATGATGAGGGCAATGCAGGAAGTGGAACGGCTCCGGCTCGAAATGCAAAGAGCATCGGAGCGCATTAATGCCCGTGGCATACCGGCTGACGGAACTCTGGTAAAGAAAAAAGGGAAAAAGAAGAAAAAACAGACATCTAACACACAATCTCAATATCGAGATGAGGCTTTACGGGTTGATGATGATGATATAGCTGGCAAGAGCAGCTTGGGGCAAGGCAAGGATCCAAAACTTATCAGTCCTAGGAAGAAGAGAAAAAAGCATCCAAAGCGAATAGCCAGTGATGCATGATTTGACATGGATATTCTTTAAAGGATATATGATTTATTTATGAAGTATTATTGATTGATTGATTGATTGATTGATTTCCTACTTGGGTCTGTTGGCCAATCAGCCAAGAGCCAGCAGGTTGCATATTAGGCAGTGAGCCTACTGTCAGTATGTGGCAGGTAGTCTATCTAATCTAAATTATATATAGATAAAACTAGGCGACTAGATAAATAATTATAAAGTTTACTATCTTATAGGTAGGGCCTATAGGCTAAAGAGCATTATAATTATCCTTAGAAATAAGTATATAGTACAAGGTCTTGTTATGGTGCACTGGTGTGTGCACTGCTCCCAACCTTTCTATATCAACCTATAGTAACTACCTTCCGCCCTATATATATATATAATACCCTAAAGCTATATTACCTATAGAACAAAAAATAATATTTATTTATAACTTCCCCTTTTTTTACTACTACATATAACTTACTACCTTTACTATATAACCTTACTTTCTTTTTATAATACTATATTAACCTTTAAGGTTATATCTAATAAATCTAAGTTAGTATTAGTACTATTATTAAATAAATTAGAGTTATTATTATCCTTATTAAAGAGTTTTTAAAGCCTCTTATCTAAGTAGCTAATAACGTATTTCCCGGCTGTTTCGATCACCCGGTTGCTCCGATCACTAGAATACCATACAAAATGCGTTTTTTTGTACGCTCATACCTCAACAAGCTTTAAAGATATTAAAGAGATATTTTATATACTATAATTATAAAGTATTTACAGCATACAGCATTAATCAGAAGTAGTCTACTCTATTATTTACTGGAATAACATAAAATACAGTGTAATTTTTATGTAAAATTAAAAAATAGGTATCTAAAAAGCAATATATATAATATTAACCTTATATTTCTCTTACAAGTAGTTATACCTATATATAATCTGATTTTAAAATTAAAGGCCAGGATATAATATAGACATTGTGGTATGAGCGT